TGAAGTATTTGTCAACTAAGATAGTAACAAAATAATTCCTGTACTTTGGCAATGTTACTCTAGTGTTTTCTCCCTAATTCTTTTGTTTCTCTTGCAGAATTAAGAATATTTCCTTGTTTATTTGATACATCACTGCTTTATGAAGCAAGGAAGATATACATGAAACGATTTAAATACATATCGCTGACTCCATGGAATGGACATCCTGTATAAGCACTGAGAAAGCAACAACATAATAACACTAAACATTTTAGGCACTCTTAAACCATCTGCCTCTAAAAGCCTTGGATGTAGCATTGCGCAATTAGGTTTTTCCTTATTTGCTTCATTGTACTACCTGTGTATATAGTTTTTATCTTTTACTATGTAGCACGTAAACATTAGGGATGGGAGGGGAGGGTGGGGCTGAGGAATCGGCATCGGTGGGGTGTGTGTGAAGAACTTGCTTCAATTTGTAGCAAGGAGAAAAATATTTGACTTGCATGAAGAGAAGCAACTTGGGCGGGGGCAGGGTTTAAATTGCTTTCTTTAAAGATGTAGTGTCCCTTTCAGTAAGAACTGATCCTTTATTTCAAAATAATCAAAATTTGAATAATTGCTACATATAGTTGCTATTTATTTTTACATGAAACTTATTCTCATTTGGGAGTTCTGAAGATTCTGTTATGTAGCAACAAATGGCTTAAAAAAAAAAACTACTTTTTGTTTTTCTTCTCCCTTAAAATTGGAATTTACCAGTTAATTATTTAGCAGTAATCACTCCAGGTAATACTGGGCAAAAATCTGGGGTGCATGACAGGAAATTCTGAACTCTTAGAATTGATCATTTCACATCAGATTTGTTGAGAAAATGTCTTCGTTTTCTTCTCGTTTGAGCTGTGTAGACAGTGAAAAGAACCCTAAATCCCTGGATATTTTTAGAAGTCTGTAACTTTACACAAATAATGAAATAATTTTTAGTTCAAAGTTTCTCATCCTACTTGTTAATTTGCCCCAAGGAAAGTGCTGTTTTTAAAGGAAAAAAAGGAATGTGCTTTTAGGAAAAGCACACTTGTAGAATAAGTGAAATGGATACCACATCTTTAAACAGTGTTTCTTCAATGCCTGTGTATGAGAAAACCTTTGAAGTGTGCCTGTGTATATAACTCTGTAAAGACACTGAAAATTATACTAACTTATTTATGTTAAAAAGAGATTTTTTTTTAATCTAGACAATATACAAGCCAAAGTGGCATGTTTGTGCATTTGTAAATGCTGTATTGGGTAGACTAGCCCCCCCCTTTTGTTAAATAATATGGCTATGCTCAAAAGGTTGCATACTGAGCCAAGTATAATTTTTGTAATGTGTGAAAAAGATGCCAATTATTGTTACACATCAAGCAATCAATAAAGATAACTTCCGTAGCTATTCACTGAGTGCAACTATCATGTGCTTTACTGAGCTTGAGGTATTCAGCCTGGTATGCCCCTGATAATCACAGAAGTACAATGGGAAGTGGCAGACATCTAGAAAATTTAGGCCTACATTTCAGTCACACGATTTTTTTTTTTTTTTTTTTTTTTTTTTGGGTGTGTGGGGGTCCGAATGTACTAAGCAGTGGCCATTTTTGTCTTAGTCCTCTCTGGGTGGACAAAGCTTAAGTGGAAAGAGGAAAAGCCACATTCTCATGTAAGACTGTCAGCAGTCCCCATTTAGTTAAAATATTTATGTTTTCTAGGATATGAGTGTGTGAGAACCAAAAGGGGGGGTCCCTTACGTAAGTGTAGTCTGATCACACATCTGCAGTATTGAAAATGAAAGTGATAGAACGACTCCTCTAGATTCTCTATTTACACTTTTGAAGTGGTGTGAGTGCTGAAATCAATGTCCAGACCCCCGACCCACCAATCTTGCCCACAGTATTCAGACACACAAGTCCTTAAGAAACTAGTCAACACTAGTTGGTTAAATGAAATTGGTTATACACAAATTCCTCAATTTCTGAGTATTCATATTATAGTTCACACATCCAAAAAAAAATAGTTCAAATATTAAAACTGAGAGTCTTGTGTCTTCATATCTGCTCAGCAAAGGTGTATATTTTTTACTTAAAAATATAAAGACTGGGCATTTTAAAGCCAGGTTTATCAAAAATAATTCTTGAATCATCACACTCCAATTTTTAAAATGTGGTTAAAGTGTAAAACTAAATTATAAGAGAATTTATGGGTAAATTGTGAAAAATCTAAATTCGGGTTAAACCATTCACTGAAATACTACCATCACCACACCCAAAAGCGATTATAAAGGTAATTCTAGCATTTCTGAGTCAAGATTTTTTTTTTCTTTTTCTTCCTTTTTTAAAAATAAGGCAAGAGTTGGTTTTTCTTCCTGTGCTGGATGGGAAAGCAGGTCTTTTGGTCGCTGGGCCACGTCCTTCAAGTAGGTATTATTTTAATTAAAGACTAAAGGTGTTTTTGTGGTTCTGTTTAAAACATATATAAAGGGTGACTTGCAGGAGGTCCAAGAGTCAGAAATCAATTCAAAATGGGAAAACACACCTCTCTATTGCTGCACGGACCTCATTTTCCTTCCGTAAAACTTCTTTCTTTTTCTTTCTTTTTTAAATGTGTATTTTAAGAGACTGCATTTTAGGAATGCTGGGCCGGGAAGATGTTGATGCTCTCTGCGCCAGGCAAGTCCACAGGAACGCACCCCCCACCCCACCCCCGCCCAAGTCACTGTGTTCTCCATCCTCCGAACGTCTGTGTCAAGCCTCCACATACAATCTGATGGTTCAAATGGTCCTTCTCCCAGGACCTGGACTCCTGCGCCCGCCGCGAACGTCCCTTTGCGGGTTTGCGGCCGCCGGCGGCGTCAGCCACCCGCTACCCCACTACCGCGCGGTAGTCTCCCGAACTGTCCCGCAGCCCCGATCCCGCCTGGTCGCTGTGGCAACTCCGTAGTCCTGCTGGCTGGCGCCTCTGGACCAAAAGTCTCTAAATGTAGTCGGCTTCTTGCAAGTCCCGCACTGCTAGGATCGCTGCGCGCAGTTCCCGCGCCCCGGGCGCCCGCAGGCCGCAGAAAGCGGCCGCGCCTCTGTCCGCGCAGCCCGGCAGGGCTACTTTTCAGAAACCTTCCTCCCTCACCATCGATCTTCCGGACGAAGAAAATCGCTATGGAAGGCCTGCGATCCTCTCCAGAGGACACCCCGCCGCCCCCAGAGCCCTGGGGGACTTGCCCGAAGGGACCAATTTCCCCGAGTTCGTGGACCCTCCAGGGCAGCACCCGCTCCCACCCCTACCGCAGGGCTCCAATGATCCGCAGCCCCGCGCATTTCGAAAGCCTTCCCGGCTCGCCGGCGGCTAAGGGACGGTCACCGAAGCGCACCAAACTGTGGAAAGCCACTGCCACTTTCGGGGATCGCCCCTGCATTGCAAAGTGTCCCCCACCATTGCATCCTTGGCTGTCCAGAGCCGCATACCCGGGCAGGGAAGAACTGGGGGAAGTGTGGATTTGTGTGTGTGTGTGTGTGGGGGGGCATGATAGGTTACATTGGGGGCCATGGACATTCATTAGTGGGAGGGAGCAGGTAGTCGGCCTTTCAGGCCACTGTGTGCCCACCGCCCTGCCCGCACCGAACGACCTTTCCTAGGCGCCAGGCAACGCTGCCTTCCCCATTGCACCCCCATCTCCAGGAGACAAGATTGCTCTTCTAGCGCTTTGGACTAAAAGGTGTTTTGTTTAGAAGTTCATTTAGGATCCCTGATCTGTTTTTCAAAGTGCGGATTCTTTTTCATTTGCCATCTTCCACCTGAGCCACACCCTATGCCTGCCACCCCCTCCTTCCTGGCTGAAAAAATAAGGCAAAAAAATCTTGCAAACGACACTGCGGGGGAGAGGGGCCCAGGAGGCTGCTTAGAAACCTATGGGGTCGCCTCCCTGATTTTACTCGCGTGGGGTTGGAAAAGGGTGGGGTCGGCCACAGACGGATCTAGGAGAACCGAAAGTGCACTTATTTCCACGTAAACTTAAGTCTCAAGTCCCTCGGGCCTCCATCCAAGTCCCAGACTTGTCATGCTTGGGGACTCAGGGCAGAGGCAGGAACTAGAAAATAGAAAATCTTAACAATAAAAAAAAATAAATAAATAAAAATAAAATCCTGATCCATATTTTGGGCGCGAAACTTCGACGCACCTCTAAAAGGAACGTTAAGAGAAAGGCCGGGAGAAGAGAGCGCGGTTCGGGCGCCGGCCGGGGGATTGCATCATTTGCAACTCCCCCTCCAGAACACGGGCTGCGAACCGCAGCCACCATCATGGCGCTCGGATCTGGCCGCGCTTCCCGCGTCCCGGAGCGTCCAGGCCGTGGCCAGTATGCTTCGATAGAAGCGTTTGCAAACCGTGTTCCCTGGTTGCCGAGCGCCGGCCTTTCGCCCCCTCCTTCTCTTTGTGTGCGTGTGCATGTGCGTGCGTACGTGTATTTGCCAGTATGCGTGTGTCATGTGTGCATGTGTAGGAAGAAGTTGAAGACCTCTCTCCCCCCTCCACTTCTCACCCCCCCGCCCCCCACCCCGTCCCGAGCTGGTGGTTGTAAACTTGATTGGCATTGGCTGCGCCCACTGATCCCTGCACCGAGTCCACTGAAGATTTAAGGTGGATCTGAGAGGCTGCAGCTGCAGGCGGAGCCTCGCTCTTAACTTAGTTTTGGAAGAAAAAAACCCCAAACCGTGCGCTCGCTGCGTTTTACGAATCTTTCGGTCCCCAGGTCCGCGGGTCCCCGCCCAGCCCGCCGCTCTTCCCCCGCCCACCTTCCCCTGATTCCCCATTGGCCGGCGCGTGCAGTTTGAATTTTTTTTTTTTTTTTTGGTTGCTTGTTTTCTTGTTTAAAAAAAAATTACAGTACCGTAGATCATGTGATGAGAATTACTTGGGCAGCCTGAGGTGGGGTGTTTTAGCTGGTTTGGTTGAAGGCGGTAGGGAGCAGGATGGGTGGAGCTTTCTGTTCCAAAAGTCACCCCCACACACACACCCAAGTGCCGTTGACACTGTGCAGGCGGGAAGCTCGGCTGGGGTAGAGATGTAGCATCAAACATTCACGGATGTCCAGGGAGCGCGGGCCCACAGGCTGCTGGCCAGAGGTACTAGGAGGGCACAGGCTGGAGCCCGAGGAGGATGCACCTTCCCCTGCCTTGGAAAGGTAGATTTGGGGAGGGTGGGAGCGGGTAGGTATCCTGGAAATGAATACTTCCCCATCAAGGAAATAAACCAAATACAAGGTGTGTCTATAGACTCTATATAGAGCAAAGAGGGTGTTATTCCAGGGGTTAGAGTGTCAAAATCCATCACCATCAAGGCAGTCGCTGTCATTTTCTTTTTCTTTTCTTTTCTTTCTTTCTTTCTTTTTTTTTTTTTACCTTAAAGAAAAAAAAAAAAAAGCAAACCCCAACAAACTGTTTTCCAGTGTTTTTGCTTGAGGATGAGAGAGGGTATCTAAAGTCCCTTTGATTTCTGGGTCTGAAAACTCATTGGAAAGAGTATGTTAAGATTTAGGACAATTTCCTTGGTAGCACAAGTCTAATACAAATGATGACCCTTTTTAATTAGGATCCAATTAATACACCCTTTTTAATTAGGATCCAACTATGTTTCTCTTTGCAGTGAAGCTTTTAAATGTTTATAATAATTAAAAGGTAGCCCCACATCAGTCTTTCTCTGTGTTAGTGAAGTCTAACACATACCTTTTTTCCTTTTCTTCCCTCTCCTTTTCTTTCCTTTAAAAAAATTTCCCCTGATGTCTCTCTCCTTCAGCCTGTCTTAGCCAGATGCCCAGCCCTGGCCTCCCCACAGTTCTAAACCAGTGTACTGTGTTTTTAGGTTTTTAGCTACCCTATTCTGGACTGACCAGACAAACCCCTTAACTCTCGCAGCTCACTAAATTCTATGACCCCATCATAAACCAACCTGCTTGAGCTGATCTCTAGGCTGTATTCATTGACTCTGTTAGAGGTGCACTGGTCACTTCTGCCTTTCAAAGGACCCACCTAATCAGAGTGGGCACTCCATAAGGAAAAAAACAAACAAAACAAAACGTGTCAACACAGGGAGGAACTTTATGCGTAAGGACTATCTAGTCTCAGGAAACAGGTCTCCATCTTGAGTGTGAATCAAGCACTGGATGTTCCCTCGATGGGATGTTATAGATAAGATTCAGGCAGCAAATGACTATGCAAACTGGTTTCGAAGTTTGAGCTTGGCATGGTGGAGCACACCTGTAATCTGAGCACTTGGTAGGTGGAGGCTGGGGGATCTGGAGTTCAAGACCAGCCTTGCCTCCATAGAGAGTTTGAGGTCAGCCCGGGCTGCACGTGACCCTCAAACATACAAACAAGGGTACAAACAAAAGTGGTCATTGAATAATACTCCATTGGGCATAGTGGTGCACACCTTTAATCCTAGTACTCACGAGCCAGAGGCAGGTGGATCTGTATGAGGTCCAGGCCAAAAATAAAAAATAATTTAAAAAAGACTTTTGCCCCCCACCCCCACCTCCTAGATGAAGTCTTGCTGGCTTTGAACTCCTGAGCTCAGTGGATCTCTGACTTTAATCTCCTGACTAGGTAGGTCCATAGGTGTGTGCTACTGCACCCACCCTGACCTTTCGGTTAAAGGGAGGCCTTAAACTCAGGCTCTGGAACAACTCAATAGAAATCCACCGACATCTAGGGCTTGGCAGGAGGGTGTTGTTTGGTGGACTGAATGCTTGCTGCGCAGGCGTGAGGACCTGAGTTTGGATTCCCAGAACCTGTTTTAAAAGCCAGCTTTGGCAGTGCACATTTTTAATACCGGAGCTGGTGAGTGGACAGGGAAAAGTAGATTCTTGGGTCACAGTGACATTCATTCTAGCTAACAGTGAGCTCCGGGCTCATTGAGATGGACGGCAATAAAAGATACCAGTGATGACCTCTGGCCTCCACATGGGCATGCACACAGGACACACGTGTACACACAAAAGAACTCGACTAGCGCATGAAAACCTACTCTTTACTCTTTAACCAGTATTAGTTTGAGCCAAATTATTGGGGTGTGTTGCTGCTGACAGTGGTCCCAGAGGACAAGAATGGAGCAGATAAAGTACTGCATGTTGATGTCGGAGCTGTTCTAATATCATAGCACTGTGTATTATTCACATTCGTAGTGCTACTGGAATAAACAGCCAAGAGTGCAGGCACATGCCCTGCCATACCGTTGTGTGCAATACTTGATAATGATACATGACTGTTACTGGCTTGTGCACTTATTGCTGTTAAGTTTCTAGGGTATGCTTTCTATGATCATTTTAGGGTATACTCCTACTTAGATATATGGAAAAGTTAACTGTAAAAGAGTCTCCAGGTTGTCCTTCAGAATTCATTATTGTCATCATAGGAGACAACAGTTCTAGGCATGCCACTGCCCCTGACCACCTTCCAGGAAGACTGGATAAAAGGTAGAGGCAAAAGATGTCATATCAATTATGCTTTTTGGTGCATGGATAGAAGCCAGAGCTTTGTGTGTGATAGGCAAGCATACTAAAATTCAGTGGATCTTAGGCTGGCCTTGAACTTACAGAGTAGCTGACCTACAGCTTGAAGCAATCTTCCTTCCTCAGCCTCCCACGCACTCATCTTATTGCAGATGTATACCACCACACCTGGCTCAGATAATGATGAACTTGAGCCTGTGGAGGCTAATGCATGTGTTTGGAACTTGGCTTTGAAAAACAACAAAAAAATATTTTTTAAAGTGTTTTTTTTTTTTTTTTTTTTTTTTTTTTTTTT